ATTTATTTTATACTGGATGATGGAAAGTGAGGGTACTATGTACAAGAGATACATCGCATTGTGGTTGCAAAAGAGGGTTATCTCTCCATTAAGCCCGGTTGACACGGTACAAATGTACTTCGATCAAAATACACTTGGATGCTGCCATAATTGCCATATAAATATACTTAAGGATGTTGCGCGCTTCTTACGTACGCGTTTGTATGGTTGATATCAACTGTTTTCTCAAAGTCGAGTTGGAAAGCTTCATAACATCCAAGTAAGTAGGCTTGCTACCAACTTACTTGGATGTTACAAAGCCTTCCAACTCGACTTGGATAAAACAGTTAAGATACAAGCAGCGTACAAACAAGTACACGCGCGTAGCATCCATATAAGTATATTTATATGGCAGTATCCAAGTGTACTAGGTCCAAGTATACTTGGACCGTGTCAGCAAGCTTTTAGTCATAGTCTCCTAAACTCCTAAGGTCTAAGGAGGCCATGACAATTTAGCTCAAGGTTGCTTATGAGCGAGATACCCTCAATTACAACCAAAATGGGACACTCTGTACATGCATCAGGAGTATCCATTTTAGTTGCAATTGAGGTTTTTTTGACTATTTATAGAACCTAACAGTTTCTACAAACTTGAATTACATTTAAGTGAAACTAACAAAGCATTTGCAGTTTCCATGTTAAGGATGATAATAAAAATGTTGCATTTCGGACACCCGTCGTATCTCACTAGCCTGACATGTTAAAAAGATAAAAACGCATTTTTATAAAACTATTTACGTAGAACCCAAAGGCTTATTTAGTTTTACTTTTAAGAGTGTTATATACCAAATATTGACCAATGTTTACTTTGTTTTTAAATGGGACACCCTGTATATTTGCCAAGGGAATCTTTTTACAAGCTTCTCAAAAATTCTTCTAAGAAAAATTAATGTATGTTTTAGTGACACAGTGTTATCTATTTTTAATAAGCTTGTAAAAGGACGAATTAATTTCATAATATACAGGTTGTCCCAATTAAAAATAAACATTGGTCAAAATTTCAAAAATAGAAACTAATAAGGCCACTGGATTCTTCGAAAAATCATAAAATTATGAATAACTGTGATACGAAGGGATCTGACACTGCCACATTTTCAAATTCGCCCTGTATCAAGAATACTAAGTGGGCTAGCAAAAATGTAACTCATGTTCATAAAAATCGAAAGTTTTTACGAATAAGCCAAAAAACCCACTAACTAAATGGAATACTATACAGGGTCCAGCAACAAACAGTACGCCGAACATCGATAGAGGTCGTTTATTAAAGAACTTAAGGACTTTATTGCAGACGCATTAAGTGCAGACCTAAACTGTGTATAGTTTGTTCAACGAGAGGGTCATGGCGTGACAGTTATGTCTGTCATTTTAATTAACATGTAAATTGTATTTTCTGTCATTTTTTGGATGTCGTCTGTCGAGATTTTCCCTGACGCGTTGGACAGATCTTACTGAATGCAAAAGAAGAGCGTCGCCAGTCAATGGCCTAGAGGGCGCAGTAAAACAAAATCCTCGTTTTTGCAAATTTCTCGAAAACTTAACCCTTAAGGCAATTTTTTAATCTCTAGCTTACTCTCTGCCCACTCTTGGCTACGCTCTTGCTAGAACATATTTCACGAAAATATATTCACTTGTATACAGGATATCTAAAAAAAGTGCGAGTGCAAAGTATTCCTTTCTTGTCACTGTAGTAGTTTTGATTAGTTCCAGAGAAATAAACTAACCAATGAAAATATATACCTTAGAGTATATTTTAATAAATAACTAAAAATCTACAAACCGACGACAGTGTTTACCACAGAGCTAATTAAGTGTTTACAGTTGGTTTATACTAACTTTATCATGAATATCGTAATCGTACATTGTACAGGGGGTTCAAAATTCGATGTCGAACTTGGTTAATAATAAAAAGAAAATAATTTCTTATTTTTTAAGGAACGCACTGAAATGTTGACATACTGACTTTTTCACCTAATGCCCCGTATTTTACTTTTACGAAAACCCAAGAAAAATTACTGTATGTTTTAACCACGTTCATATTAAATTTTGAGCACCCTGTAACATTTATAATCGTCAGTACAGACCACCTGTAGTAAATACCAAGCATGGTTTCTATTTCAAGCCTTGTATTTTTATTTTTTAACAAAATGGCTACAAAATACAATACGATCGAAAAAAAAACTGCGTCAGCGATGGCTGTGAAATGAAGATCGCTGTCATTTTTTACAAGGTGTCCCAGAAATAAGTGCAAGGTGGTAGTAAGTGGTAGTATAGTTCAACCCCAGAATCACGCCTATGAGTTTTTTTTCGCGAAAAAAATATTTTGAAAATTCGGAATTTTTTGAAAAATTTTGTGTATTTTTTTTTAGTTTTTAGTTAAAAAAAACATAATTTCTTGATAATATGGCAACATAGGTAGTAAATTAAATTTACAAGAAAGAAAATCCAGAAAAGATCCAGTGGTTCTCAAAAAATCATTTTTTTTTGGAAAAATTCAAAGTAAAATAACTCCGTTATTTTTGACTTACTTATACTTGCACGTATTTCGGGGACACCCTGTATATAAATTTATATGGGAAATATCGTCGATATTCATTTCCAAACCAACTGGAAGCTGTTTTTTTTCGATCATACGGTATATGTAGAGTTTTCAGAGATATTTAGTGCGATACCTACAGGTTTCTTAATTGGAGGTAGGAGAAAACTTTAAATGTACTTTACATGTAAGGTTTTACCTGAACTGCCAGAGAGTGAAATAAAAATAAACAAAAGACGATCAAGAACCCTAAGAAAAATATATAACTTAATTTTTTATCGCATTAAATATCTCTGAAAACCCTGCACCTATCCTTATATGTTATAGACTTATTTCTCTAGAACTACCAAAACAAAAATTTAGTGTAAAAACGTGGGAAAGAGGCATTTAATAAAAACATCCACGCTTTTTTCAGACGCCCTATACAACTAAACATAGTTTCCTGAAATAGGACCTAGTGCACAGTTTATGGTCTGCACTTAAAATTAACTTAAGACGCTTTGTTGCTGGACCTTGTATATTTTTTACTGTGGTTATCAACACTCACTGTCTATGCAAATGAGACAAAAAGTCTATGTCAAAATACAGGGTGACCCGGTATACTAAAAAGACCTAATATAAATTTTTCTGTTTGCAATTTTCACCCCATTTTTTTACAAATGACGACAATTAAAGTAGAGCACATATTGAAAATATTCTTATACATATACAGGGTAATACAAAAATATTTTTGTACTAATGTAGTTTTCCCTTTAGAAAACTAAAAATATTAATCTTAAAATAACAATTTTTAGAGCTCATACTTTTTGTACCATTTTTGTTTTATGATTTTACTATTAATTTAAGTTATTTTTTAGACATTATATCGTTGGATAAGGTTAGTATTATCTAACCTTAAAAATTATTTTTGACTTCAGTTAGATTTTCAGACATTTTTAAAACTTGTATTGTCCAATTTTCTAAATAAAATAAATACATATAGTTTTGAAAAAGGCACTATGTACTTCTATTTGAAAAACATAAAATAATATTGATGTTATTTAAAATTTGAAAATTTCTGTAGTAAATCTACTGAGCAAACAAAATATAAACCTTCCCATCTAAAAAATTGCAACATTAAGCCTAAAATTATAGTATAATCACCGTGTATATCTATTAAAACAAAAGTATATCTATTAAAATATTTTGCAAGAAAGAATAATGAAAAACTCTAACTTGATTTAAAGATTTTTCGGTATACTGGGTCACCCTGTATACAGTATATGTAAATTAACATATAAAATTTAAAAATATATTACATTTGTTTAATAAAAGCAAAAAAAGAATTATAAATCCATCTAATAGTTGTTGGAGGTTTCAAAAAGATTTTTACGAAAGTATAGGCAACCAACAAATCATCTTAAATTACAAAAACCGGAAATATTTTTTAATTAAAAGTTTGATAACCACAGCAAGTGGGACACATCAATTAATAATATTTATAATCTATATTAGGTGTATTCAATCAAAATGAGGAGTGTTTTATCTCTTTTCTTCTTATAGCACAATTAAAAACTTCTAAAAATTAGAACAACAAAACCAATAATATTATAATTACCTTACTTTGCAAATTAAGTTATTTAATTAAATATTTGTACTGAAAAAAAAACACCTTATATTGATTATATTACATATAAAAGCAAAATGACTTACGTTATATAGCCTGTTCAACGAGCCGAAGAAGAGTTTGACAGATGACATTCTTAAAAATGACAGAAAATACAATTTACCTGTTAATTAAAATGACAAACACAACTGTCACTGTCAGGGATCCTCTCATTGGATAGACTATATTACACATATGACATAAAACAATACAAAATAGTAGGTATATCGATTTATTACGAGTAAAAATGATACTTTTTGTGGCGACGCTGTACGTTCGACATTACAGGCGAGGCACAAAAAGTCATTTTTACTCCAAATAGAACATACTATTTTTTTCAAACGTCACAAATAATTAATGCAATGATTTAAACACAAAGAACGACGCAAATGAAATAAAAACATTTAAAAGTAAGTAATTATATATCGAGAAACTATGATTACGCTCGTTAAATTTGACACTTAATGTCAGTTTAATAATATATTTTTTCGTATTTTTATGCTTAGGCGTCAAAATATTTTTTTATATTGTCAATCACGTCGCAAAAATTAATACTTTGTGACGTTTGAAAAAAAAAATTATAATGATAAAAATTGATCAATCATGAAAAAACATCTGTCCCTAGGCCAGTGGCGCATCTACAGGCTGGATCTGGGAGGAATAATTGCAATATTTAAGTAAACTAGTAGATTTGAATGAAATTTTTGCTAAAAAGTTTTTTAGTAATCGTGGGAAAAAAATAAACGTGGAATTTTAACTATTTTTATTTTATTTATCAATCTCTTTCTGGGAGGGGTAATTATTCCCTTTACCACCCTATCCTGTCCTAGGGTCACGCCCCTGTCCTAGGGTACTAAAAATAATTCACAAAAGCAAAAAAAAACTATATGAACACAAGTATTAACAAAATGGATTATTTTACTAAAAATAATCAATCCAGAACTTATAAAAAATGATTAAATTGATCATTAAACTATTAAATTATCATCTGATCGTAGATATAGTTAGATAAATTCCATAAAATTTAGTTTGTGTTAATACAATAAATTAAATATTAAAAAATATAAACTTTAGAACTAAAATAATACTTGTGTTCATAGGGCTATAGTGACGCAGCTGCGCATGCATAACATTTATAATTTTGATAATCCGGAATAAATTTAAAGTAATTAATTAAAAATAATTAAAAAACTACTATTATAAATAATTGGTAATGATACAAATTTATAAAGAATCTCTTTAATTCTATTAAAAAAATATTACGTTATATAATACAACTAACAATTTAATTAATAATCACAATATCTAATGACCTTTAATGAATGCAAAAATAAAAGATAAATGAGATTGAAAAAAAGCTTAAGAGAAATTATAACAGATTACTATAATATTGCTCAACATATTTTTCATCAAGATTAATGCATAGATTTTAATGATTTAAAATTAATCAAACATGTCTCAAACTAGAGGCGATTAGATAATAAATAGAGCATCAAAATAAATAAATAAAAAGACAATATAAACAGAAATAATGGTCCTATTCATAAAATAACGTTAATTGTTCTTAACAAGTATTTTATTTTGCAAAATCTTAAGAAAAAAAAAAACGGTTTTTATCCAGATTATCAAAATTTTACAAAAAATCAATAACACTAATATGACGCCTGATATACTTAAATAGTTAAGAAGAGGATAAAAACCAGTAAACAAATTTATTGAAACAATAACACTATTAATGAAGCTAACGAACCTTGGTGAGGCATTGAGGAGTATCGAGTCTGCTTTATGTTGAGTGAAAGAGGAAAGTGAGGAGTAGGAGCAACTGTTGGGGATATCCATTGTTAAGAAAATGCAGAGATATCTAAAAAAAATAAAAATAAAAATAATATTAAAAAAGGAATAAAACGATCTATGCAAAAATTAAAATAAATATATTTTTATTAATGCAATAACTATGTTTTTTAAATTAATAATTTGTATATACCCTAGGAGAAAAAAAGCAGCATTATAGTGGCTTTTGAAATAACAATTAATGAAAATTATTTCTGCCAGGTAAACCACAATATATCATTTATAAAAAATTGGTATAAAAATTTATAAAAAATTAAAGACAGAAATGTTAAAAAAATTCTAAGTTCATATTTTTTTTAAAATTAATGTTTTCACCTTTGAATAATACTCGGTATGTTTGAAACCTTTTTCCTTTTTTTCATTTAAATTTTATTTTTGACAAGTTTTTATATCAATTATTAATAAATGACATATAGGAATAGACGTTGACCTCAGAAACCTGTGCAGCTTGAATATTATATCGATGAAATTTAATAAGAAAAAAAAAGAGATAAATAACTTACTAGTGATGAAGGACTGCGACCACAGTAACAGCTATTAAGTACAGTCCTCAATGGTCTTTCTGAGTCTTTTCCTGCAAATTTCATTCCATTTAAAGCTTTTTGTTGTCCACCATAATATTTGCAGATAGTACAGCTTGTGGATTTTTAACAGCAATTATCCCATCTTATACCTAAAATTCCAAAAAAAAATATTCAGTAAATTTTTACTATACTAATTTTGAAAGATTTTGAAAACAATATTAATAAAAAACAAAAATAAAAAAGATTAATCAAAATTATATTTATAAAAATATATATTTATGGCGTTTATTCTAGTGGGAACTTTATCGTCAAGGTGTGTGTGACGAGTTTTGTAATTTTAAACCAAACAGTTTTAAAATGTTGACAATTTGGCGAAGGATTTTTTTAAACAGTTAATTGTGTGTTGTAATCAGTATAAATTGTGAGAAAATAAATCCGTTAGGTATTTTATCGTGACTTTAAATTAGCGGACCCATGTAATCCGTACCTATATGCAACCAGTAATACAGTATCAGCATTTTATTTTATCCTGCCTATTTTTAATAGTTGTTGGCTGTTCTAATATTGGAGCAAAAGCGCTCGAATATTAGAAAATTTTAAAAATTTTCAAGCTGTCCAATGAAATTTTATAAGATAGATAAATAACTTACCATTGATGAAGAACTGGATCCGCTCTAACAGCTATTAAGTAACAGCAGTTCAAAATGGTTTTCCTCGATTTCTTCTGCACAAGTGTTTCATTCCATTTAAATCTCTTTTATAACCACCATACATATTATTTGCAGCTAGTATGTCTTATCGGTTTCTAATAGCAATTGTCCTATCGTATGCCTAAATAAAAAAAAATATTAGGTAATTTTTTATTATAGCAATTTTTGAAGCTATCAGAAAACAGACAATAACATAAATTATGTTAATATTTACAACTATGTAGCATAACAAATAAATAATAGACATTTTTTATATTAATTTGAATTAGCTATAAAGAGTTATATAAAATTAAAAAAAAAATTATTGATAACTTCCGAAATGATATAAAAAATTGTAAAATTCCTTGATAAGAAAATAAAGCATTATTATAATGAGTTAATAATAATCCAAAAAATAAATATCTAATTTACAAGATATAGAGAAAAAGAAAAAATTAATATTTAGTAATAACTCGTAAATTTATTGCGTTATTTTGGTGATAACTTTAATAATTTTGAGATAAATTTAAAGATATGCAACCAGTAAAACACTGTTAGCATTGTATTTTTTTCCACTTTAACTGGCCATATGTTTTTAATTTTTTGATCTCTAATATTAATTAAAAAAACAATTATATTAGTTTTTCAGTCAAGTTTTAATACGGTTTTATTATTATAAATGTCATACACTCTCAAGTATCACCCAGTTATTGGTAAAACTGTATATTTTTAAGTGAAATGCCCTATAAATTAAAAAAAGAGAAATAAACATAATAATTTTGGTGTATTTTTTATTAAATTCTGATAAAACTATTACAATGAAAGGGCACGAGTGTCTTTCAGAAATTAAAAAATGTGCCACCTAATATACTTTTAATGTATAGGGTCTTCCATTTAAAAAAATACACATTAAAACTTGAGCTAAAACTTTATAATTTCTTTTTTTTTAATGAATGTTCTAGCTTCTAAAATAAAAAAAAAAATTAAAACCTGTTAAAATTTAGGGTAAAATAAAATGCTAACACTGTACAAACTGCAGAGTATGAATATTCTGTAAAATTTAATCATTTTACAAAATTTTCAAGCTAATCAATGCCATATATACAGGGTATTTCACATAACTAGTCCAATAAAAATGTTTTAAAATGAAATTTAGTCCAAATTAAACTAGTTATAGACTTAGAAAAATATATACAGTAAAAAACTTTTAATGAACCAGTTGTATGAAAATCCCTGTATATAAAATGATCAAAATAACTTACCATTATTAAAAGGCAACAGATGTCGAGCCCGACCCTGGTTCTATTAACTTTACATCCTGAAACGACTGACATTTTTCTGTATCCAATCAAAAATTTTCCTTCAAAGCTGCAACTTGTTCGTTGAGTTGTGACAGCAGCTGTCAAAATGTCCATTACCATCAATTTGTTCACCTCACTAAAAGTACAAAAAAAATTAAGAGATAAAAAAAATTAAATAATAAAAAAAATATGACGTCAGTTTGTTCATACCAAATTTATCATAATTTTCAATCTTGTCAAAGAAATTTAATAAAAAAAAAAAGAAGAGATAAATAACTTACCATTGATGGAGGACTGCATCCACTCTAACAGTTATTACGTATACAGTCTAAAATGGTTTTCCTTTATTTTTCCTGCAAGTTTCATTCCATTTAAAGCTTTTTGATGTCCACCGTAATATATTATCTGCAACTAGTACTACTTGTTGACTTCTAACAGCAATTGTACCGTTGTATACCTAAAATTGAAAAAAAATAAATAAATAATTTTAAATATATATTTTTTAAAACATAAAAAAATATTCAAAATTATGTAAAAAAATAATAGCTATTTTTTTATAAATTTAAAGTCATATTAAAACAAACAATAAACAATAAAGATCTTAGATAGACTTAAAATTAGTTAATTTTCTCTAATAAAAAATAATTATAATTAATGTAATATTTGCGGTTTTAATGATCGAAAAAAATATAAATAAGGTATCTACTTTACTAAAAATATCAAAGTAAAAAAATCAACTTATATTTACTCGGTTTGTAAAATTTTATTGCGTGTATCTTAGTGGAAACTTGAATAATTATTAAAAAAAGATTTAAAAACTATGCATTTTTTCCAAGAACGCTGATATGCAACCAGTAATACAGCGTCTGTATTTTATTTTGTCCCGCTTTTAAGTCTTTTTTATTATTGTTTTAGTTCACAAAAGAAACAGAAATAGAGCCTATTAATATTGAGCCAAAAGAATACGATGGAAAATTTAATATTTTTATAAGATTTTAAAATTTTATAAGAATAAGTTGAGAGGCATAACTTACCATTATTAAAAGGCAACAGGTGTAGAAGTCAATCCAGTAAATGGCATTTTTCTGTGTCCATTAAAGATTTTCCATTAAAACTGGAACTTGGACTGGCAACAGCTGTCAAAACGTCCATTAATACCAATTTGTATTGCTTACTAAAAATACAAAAAATAAATAAGTAAATTTTTATAAAGTCAGTTTCTTCACATTTTGGAATAAAAAAATATGTGTTTTTTAATATGTTAGGTAGATATTAAAAAATAAACGCAATAGTAACTCTTTAAAATATTGTCAAATATTCATAGATTTTTACAAAAAGAAAACATACTAAATAAAATTAAAATTGTCTGATACAAATTTGTAAATAACTACAAAGATTGAAAAAAATATATTAATATATTTTCAATCTCAAACACATTTTATTTTGAATTTGAAGCCTACAATTTTGTAGTGAAATACAAAAATTGTAGCCATAAAAAAATAATAAAAATAACTTACCATTTTTATAGCATAATGGTAATGGAGGCCAATCAATCTTAGTACTATTGATTGTATCTTGAAATTGACATTTGTGGACAAGTTTTTCACTATCGTTTCATTCAAAACATTTCTTGACATTCCTCAAACGTATGCACAGTAGTAACTCATTTGCAGATTTTTAACAACTGTTAACGCCCAGTATATCACTCGAACAGATATCTAAAAATTAAAATAAATAGGAAAATATCAAATTAGATTAATTTAAATAAAAAAAAAACGTTAAAGATGATTTTCAAACGTTCGAGAAGCAGCCGCTATCTAAAATACGGTTAGTTTTTGAATAGCAAATGTTGACAAATTGGTGAAGGATTTTTAAATAGTTAATTATGTGTGTATATAGTGAGAAAATAAATTCGTTAAGTATTTTATCGTGAGTTTAAATTAGTGGAGCCACAGAATCCATAACAATACCTATTAAAATGTATGTGTATAAATTCAAAATATTAAACTTGTAAATAATGAATATTTATCATAATTTTCAAGCATTCTAAAAACCTAAAAAAAAAGAATATGATTTGTTAAAACTTACCATTTTTGAAAGATATCTGTGTTGTGGAAGCCAATTTAAGGTCCTGGTACTACTGCAGCCTAAACTGGTCTTTTATGAGCTTCTTCCCAGTTTAAATTCTGTCAAAAGTTCTTTGAAGTTCCTAATAATTCATACAAGGTGTTATACCAGCTGCCATTTTACATTTCCACCAACAGATAGGCTTGTATAATACACAAATAAATGAAACTTGATGTCCAAGATATCAATAACATCTATAAAAAATATAAGTTGTGATAAGTATTTACTTTTTGTAACTGGATGAAAAAAATTACCTTAATACAGTTGCTCCAAATTTCATTCAAAAAACTTCCGTTACAGCGAACAAAATCCTCCTCCTTTCCTCAAACATCTTCTATCTCCTTTCCTTCTATTTCAAAGCAATCCTTTTCCATTTTCTTTGTCCTCTTCTATTTTCCAAGTCTCACCAATTCTTATTCAACTACTTATATAACTAACTTATACAAAATCAGGCGTCTTACAAACATTTTTTAAAAAGGAGGAAAAGGGATATAATGCTACAACAAACGACTACGCTAGCGCACCTACCTAAAAAAAGAAAAACACTTTTTTAGTCAAAGAAAATGATAAATATAAAGTTATATAAATTTACCTGATGGCATCTAGAAGATGGCCCTAATCCTGCTGTTGTCCCCCAAAAAAATTCATTCCAAAGCAGTTTAGTACTAAAAAGATTTCAGGAACAAAATGAATTTAATTTCAGTAACAAAAATAAATTACTAATACTTTAATTCTCATTATAATGTAAAATTACATTATTTACTAATTTACGTTTAATTAAAAGTCACTATTAAAAAAATTAAATAATATTGTCAATTTTAAAATAAGACGAAAAATAGTTATTTCCAAATATAATAGAAAAACAATATGCTACCTAATGTTGTCTCTTTGAGTAATTTTTTTATTACCCATTTATTATTGCTAAAAAAACTTTATATTAAAGCCTTGTATAGAGTAAGAAAAAAAAGTAAAAATAAATGTAAACATTGCAAATTAAAAAATGAGTACTTAATGCAACATTCTGTAAATGTAGGGAACCTAAAGTAACTGCTTTGGAACCACGACGCGAACCGACTTTTGAAGTTCTCCAAGCCATACTGTATCACCTGTAAGAGAAAAAAAAATAATATTAGAATATTTCTAACAAATACATATGTATGCTAGAAAAAAAAACAAAAAACAAGCTATAGACAACAAAAAAAAACAATGTAAAAATATCCACCATCAACTCACCATCGCATCTTGCTTAAGTTCATTTTCAGTCCCACCATAATAATTATACGGCGAAAAAAACAGTGGCGTCTCACTGTTATGGGGCACATCGAATGCCCCCAACTCCATGGACTTCGGTCGATCCTGTAGAGTTGACAATAAACACGTTTTCCAGGTATTCGACGGTGCCTGGAACAATCCGAAATTTTTTGGGACTGATCATATGCAGCATGTAGATAGAATTTCTGACTTATTCAATCTTGTTTTTTAAAATCGCGCTGCGAACCCGGGTTGTCCTAAAAAAATGAAAAATAAAAAATAAGTAATGAAAAAAAAATAGTTTTATAAGTAACCACAAGTTAAATTGGAAAATTATTTTAAATTAAATTAATTAAATTAGAATTTAAACTTATATCTACCATAAGTTTTAAATAAGTTGCTCTAATTACTATACAAGTTACTCTACTTTAAATTGAAGCTCATGTATGTTGTAACAAAAAAACTACAACACTTATATAAAAAGAATTTTGATTACTACATGGTGCGATAAAAAAGTTATTTGGTAGAGAGTACAGTAAAAGTTTACAATTTAATGTAATATAAAAAAATAAACTTACTTTTAACAGGTTTGAGTTAGGCCTGGTTATGCTCGCCTCCTCCCGACATTTTCTGCCTTCAAAATTCGACGCGGGGCAGACCAAGAGAAAAAACAAAGAAATGTTTCCACGACCCGCCTGCGAGTGTGTGCTGGTTGCCTTCCTTATGCAGATTCGACCCATTGGTCGACGATTAAGCCTCACCAGTCAGTTCCCATCCCAATTAAGCCGCCTCGTCTGGGGTCACCCTCGTCACCCGTCGGACGGACATCCACCGGGACCCCCTACAGGCGGACCCCCCTCATCATCTTCAATGTGTCCGATATCCCGCCCCTGCCCCTTCGAGGGTCACGGAATACGTGCACGAAGAAATCTCGGAGCTTGGGTGCCAGGTTGTATCCGGCCGAAGCCTCTAGCATTAGAACACCTAGCTCGTAAATCAGAGGGTGGTGACTCCCTTGGGTACCTCTGCATGCTACACAGGTCATCGATGCCCGAACATCAGGGTTAGGGGGTGACCCAAGAAGTCTCCTCTCTTGGGGAAGGCCGCGCCACGCTCTGGAGTCATCTTAAGCCGGGGATCCACACCGACAAAAACACTATTAACCAACCGCATCAGCTAACGAAATTCACTAATGTTGAATTAGGAAATTTTATTAACCAACACAGAGAGCTAGCAATGCTCGTGTGAGTGGGGAAGGAGTGTGTGGTGTTGTAGTATTAATATAACGCGCCTAAAAAAAGAAAAAAATATTGGAATACCTATAAAAATATTATCGAACATCTAATAAAATATTACGACAATATATAAATAGGTATATTTATTTTAAATATGAAAAAGGAGATGCTCCATTTATATCTCAGCAATATTTTATAAGATTTTTCCATGATTATTACACCAAAAATGTCAAAAATATAAAGATGTTAGGTATATGACATAGAAAAAAGGGATATAAATTTGATGAATATGGTCAAAATCCAAAGAATTTTTTCCATGATGTAACACATAAAAAAATAAAATACACAAGGAGTTTTTAGAGTTGCAACATATATTATTTAGAGCTAAAAGTTAAACCTACAGTGTTTCAAATAAATAAAAAATATTAAAGTTATATTTTTTTAACATTGAGACATCCTATATATATTATTACATTTTTAGTTTCTACTATGAAGACACAAAAACATTCTATCAAAATTTACCTCAAAATAATACTGACTGTTTTTGAAATATTTTAATTTTTATAAAAATTCAGTAACAATTTATTTAACGATTTATTTCTTCAATGCAAATTTACAACTAATACTGAATTAGCAAAAATCATTTGTCAACATTAATACTATTTTTTAACATGTAATATTACATAACGCGCTGTAAAAGAGAAATATATTTTAAAATAGAAAATGCTGAAACCTAATATATGTAGGATTCAGGATTCTTAAATAAAAAAAATACGTAATAAAATTCCTAATGAACTTATATACCTATTTAAAACGTAAATACAAAAAACCTATATACTCATTCAAAATATTATTAAAATGCGCATATTATATTTTTAAGAATAAAGAAAACTCCAAGTATGTCCTATAAAAAGAAATTTAAATTAAAAATAGCAATTTAGAAAAAATCAAGACATCGAATTCCAACAGGCGGCCATTTTATTTAAACATTCCTTGGCCGAAAAAATTAAACAAAAAATGAAAGATACATTACGTAATTTACCAAAACTGTAGTACTATTTTACCCTTATGTAACACGCAGTATAGAAAGTACCAAAAATACATAGTTTTACATACTTATTTATTAATCTACGTATATTATTTAAACAATATTCTTAAAAATTAATAACTTAATGGGGAACATTGAGAAGAAGGCAGCCATGATGGATATTGCGAAATCCATAAACTTTAAACTAAAATATCCCAAAAAATACATAAAATTACGGGTACTCACTTTTTCAGGAGGCTAAGCAGGGCACTAGTAACAGATTACGCATAAATTGTGTACACTAAACGCACTTTTTCGTGAGAAAATTAAAAAATCCATGCAACCGACGAGAGGACGTGCGGATCCTTCGATTGCAAACGATATAAGGAGGACCGGCGTTGCCAGATTGAAGCCATTCGTAAAATTTAAGCTGCTCATAAAATTAATTTATTTATTACTAATAAAATTGTTTATAGGAAAATTCTTCTAAATTAATCTTAATTTTGTTCTCAAAAGTTATTATTTACTCAATACGTTCCACTGATATCTTTTTACGTAAGGTAAAATATTTATTTTCATAAATAACAAACAAATAAGTAATTATAAACATAAACACACAAAAATTATGAAATAAACATAAAATGAAGCTTTTTAAATACATTTTAATGCTATAAATACATCAGGAAACCAAGAATAAAGACTATAATGTTAGTACGTAGTTACAAGAAGAAATAAAAAGAAATTTCTACAAAACAACATTACTAGTACTTGTTTTATTAAAATATATAGAAATGGCCCTTACTATAGTGCCAGTGATCAATTTAAACTAATATAATTTCACACAAAATCATACAGAAAAAAGATTTTCGGCATTTTTTAACAATCCGACAACATCGAACGAGAATAAAATTCAAAATCTCCACGCGACCGAAACTGACCAATCACGATCGAGTATTTTTTGCTCTTGGATGCCTGGATTTTAGCTTTTTTAATAAACATGGATGGTTTTATTAAAATTTCAGTAGAATATGCTTCTTAAATTAATTAAAGATTTGTTTTTATTTGTATTTATTCCTCCAGTATAAAATGTCATACAAAACTTATTTTATATTGAAATTATCTGGTACGCACATAATTAGATGAACTATGAAATCATGCATTTCTTTAATATTTTAATAAATTATTAAGAAAACAAGTGTTTTTATTCAATAAATATCCTTTAGTTTAATAAGAAACTAATTCTATATAGTTAAATAGTAAGAAATATGAGATAAATTATATAAAAATAACTTCATAAGTCTTTAACTTGACTCAACGTTGACAGCTCTTACCGGATGTATCTGTTCAATTTTTGGCGTCACAATTTTCAAATTTGAAATTTAATTAAGCTGAAAAATCCTTTATTTACAAGAAAAAATATATTAATAAGTACAAATTAGGATAAAAAGCATTTATTACTTAGGACAACTATATATTACAGTACTTTTGTCTCCTGAAACTGATAAAATTTTCGATTTATCCGGACTGAATTTTACATCCCAAACCTGCAATGTTTTTAGATAAAAAATATTATTATTAAAAAACAAATCTTATTTAAAATGGTTATATCCTTAAAAACTTTCTTCATCAGTATGGGAATTAAAAACAAATTTTATTTGTGAGTGTATCGTGCTTTCGATAGTTTATGCACAGTTTATGCCTTGTTTATTGTTTTCCAGTCCCACTAGCCAGTGCCTTCTATTAAAGAACGGCAGTGAGTCACTGTAGCTCTCAAAGCTGTTTTTTATGGAGTGTAGAGGTAGGAAAAGATTACGAACCAATAATACACAATAAAATCGTTTTTTCTAGCTAAAATTTCAAAAAACCCCAAGACCGGCCGGCATAAAATTAGAAAAAGTGTTAAATGTAAATAATAGATGGCTCTTATTAAACACTTTTTACGACCTCGAAAAAGTAGATTTCTCTAATTTAATTTTGAAAATTAATAGCATAACTATTTTCCGATAGATGTCACAACAACCGAACAGTTACAGAACTCTTATCTAAATTATATACCACTACTTTTCGCTAGATGTCACAGGAAAACCTAGCTTTTACAGAAATCTCTTTTATTTGTTTTTATAGTAGAACTAGTTAACGACTGATGGCGCCACATGCTAATGTAGTTTCAAAAATGCTACTACGATAATATGGCGCTGCAATCGGTTTCGCGGGTTAGACGAAAAAATTTGAATTAAAGCAATTTTCTTTTTAGAGCTTATATTAACGTATTAATTACGAAATTCTTAATTATAACGTTAAAACTAGATTGAGAACATATTCAGTTAGTTGAATTTTATATAAACAAGTATAATAAATAAAATTAGAGTAAATAAATATTGATTTATCAATTATATCTTCAAAAATTCTGTCTTTATTTGTTGCAATAAACTTGTTTGTTATTATTTTTATAATTTTCTTTTGTATTTTTATTCGTTGAATGCAGTAAAGCAAAAAAGAACATGGTTTTCTTGCGACAAAAAAATCGACAATATGAAAGTAGGTTCTAAGAAATAGGAAAAAATGAAACTGTAAGGTTCTGCAAGGAAAATATATAAGAAATAATTAATTGTTTGTTCACTAAAGCGGGCCTCACACGATCAGTATTATTGATTGCATTGAGTATTGTCAGTATCCCAAAACACTTTCAAGATTTCCAAAGTATATCGGTATACTGACAATCCCATCAGTATGTTTTCCTTCACACGGTCAATATTACTGACAATTTTTGGAAATACTGTCAATAATACTGGTCGTGTGTGACCCGCTTAACATACTTGATTAAAATCTATTACTTCAATAACTTTACATTTTCAGTAAATTAATAGGGTAGTAGGTATTATATAGCAATTTTTCGTAACATAGAAAACTTTTTTTATAGCAATACAATAAAAAACATGGCTAAGTTGGCTGCATTCGTAATTAAGAAATATTTTAATTGTAATATTTCAAAAGGTGAAAAACTACAAATTAAAGAATTCAAACACTAATATGTGTAGTCTATGGAGGGCTTTGAATGAATTTAGAAAAGTTTCAGAAGAATGACACAAAAAATATAAAATTATATACATATGAGGCAACCTTAACTTTCAATGGAAGAGTTTTTAGAATTGCTGACTAATGCCATTCCCACAAGGAAGAAAATATGGGAGAGAAAAAGTAACTTAGAGATATGATGCGTTGAAAAAGAATAAAAAATATAATACAGGGAATGGATCTGTTGAAATACTATGTCTTAGGAGGATAACAGTAATGAATAAGACAAACAAATAGAAGAGTAATGAGTGAAAAATAAAATAAATAAGACATGAGTTGGAAAATATGCCACGAAAATGAGGGATGATTTTAGAAAAATAGGACGAAAATTGATAAAAAAGCAATAATTTTATACAGACAATAGAAATGTGTTGAATGATTTTCTAAGTATGCCTTAGAAAAGTATCAGAAGAATGACAAAATAAAAATATACAAATATATAAGACAATAACTGGGAAGAGTTTATAGAATTGAGAAATGATGATATTCCAAATATAAAGAAAATATGACAGAAATGATTATGTTATATGTGAGAATATATGCGAAAAGACCTTTGGGTATATACCCTTGGGTACCCATGCATGCTACACAAGTCATCGATGGCCGAACATCAGGGTTAGGAGGCGACCCAGGCCTCCTCTTTTGCGAGGAGGCTCGCTGTGATGCTCTGGAGTCGATGGTAATCAGGAAAATTTATTGAAAAAATGCAAAGAACAAGAAAAGTGACATTATCTATGGACATCAGATTTTTTGAATAAATGGCGAATGCGCCAGGAATTTACGGGAAAATAGTCCTTGCTGAGATTTTTAAGTGTGTTATTGTGTGTTTATGTTATATTCAAACACAGGCAAACTAAAACAACAGAATCCATAAAATTATAGCAATTCATGACATACAATCTGGGAAAAACGACATGAAAATGAAATCCATCAAAACTAAACTTCTGCAGAAGAAATTACCCAACCAAAAAATATTAAAAAAATGAAACCATAAGAGAAATAATACAAATAAAATAAGACTTACAGAAATGCAGTCAATGGAATATATCATAGAATCGCGAAATGATGTTATTATTCCCACAATGAATATAATATAGAAATCAAGCTGTTATAGAGAAATAAAAGTTAACCATAAACAACATGAAGTAAAATCCTACTACCATTTAAGTAAATATACCATTTACTTAAACATGCATTTACCAAACGAATAAAACCTATAGAAATACTGATATTCCTATAAGCAAGAAAATATGAGAGTCAAGCTATTACAGAGAAATAAAAATAAACCAAAAACAACTTGAAGTAAAGTTCTAAGTGGATGTTTTCAAAAATTTACAAAAAAGAAAATGAAGTGGCCAAAAGCCAAATATTGTCCCAAAATAAAAATAGATGGTCTGATAATAAAGAATCATAAAAATGTAACTCAGAGACTCATTGGATTTTTTTCCTAAGTAATCAAATTTAAAAATAATGAACAGTTGAAATATATATTTATCCAAAAAGAAATAAAATTTTAAATATACTTAAAAGTCCTGATGCATTGTTGGTTAGGATATGAATCAAAAGGATAAAAATGTACTGCCCTGGAAAATCTGTAACAAAGAATTAAATATTACATACAATAATATTAGATATTTATTAAAAAAATAATATAATTTACCTAAAATTATTTAATTTCTCTTTAATGTTGAATTTCATCCTCATTCCACTGTTGAATTTAATCAGTGTAATGGCATCTTCTTCAAATTGTTGCGGTCGATGAAGGACATACCAATAACTGCCACGAAGATAAAGTCTCCTAAATAGAATTATTAAGTTGTATATTTTTACACAGTTGTATATACTTCAGTTAATGTTAATAGTTATTATTAATTTCTTTAAAAAGTGATATTCATAGTTTTTTTTAATATCTACTGTTTGTCAAGTGAGTGCATTATAACAGTAGATGCATTTAAAATTTATATTTAGAAACAAACAATGCTATAATAATTATAGCATTAAATTAAATCCAAGAACCAATTATTTGTTCTTGAATTAAATTTTTTTTAAACAATTGGGTAGGGAAACAGAAAAATTAAGAACTAAAAGAGAACTAAATGAAATTATCTGCTGGTATCGATTAAAGTATATTCAATAACACGACTAAAATAACTACAAACTATGAGAAATACAATTTTTTTATAATAGAATTAACAAAAAATAAAACTTACCGTAAAATGGGGTGAATAGAAACAGTTTCGTAGGCTATTAGCGATATACCGGTTGATAAAAATGTGGTATTATGTTCCCGAATATTTTAAAACATGGGTCTTTGTTTGTTCTTTGCGTATACATATAATTTGATTTTTGAAAAATATGCATATAAATATTAAATAAAATAACTTTTGTGTTTCTATTCACCTGCTATTCGGGAGAATAGGAAACACACATTGATGTTAAGGTTTTTATCTATTCTGTTTCCAACAAGGTGATTAGAAACAGATAATTATTACATATTTAAGTAGGTTTAGCAATAATTAACAATACATATAATATAACAACTTACATGTACCAGCTTAAGTATTACTTTAAAAATAAATATTTTATTTATAAAGTTTTCGCGCCATACAAAAAATAGGTGATAAATCGACTCTCACATTTATTGATCAGCTGATTGACAGAAACAGTGCAGCCACAGATAAAAATATAGTTTTTACATTTTATTGTGTATTACCAATGATAGAAAAATTAGATATGTCGACTCTTTTTACTTTGAATATTTTTAATCGCGATTTGATTTTTTTCAGAAATTTTGTTTCTATTCACCCCATTTTACGGTACTTTGTTTAGTTTCAAAGTTGTAGTTGTAGATAGGGCTGAACTGTTTTATTGAAGCCTCCATTTACCATAAATCTTTGTCTCTCGATGCCTATTTAGCTTCCTGCATTGTATTTAACCCTTGGTTGACGATTAAGCCTCACCATAGTCACTTCCAATACCAATTAAGCACCGTTGTCTGGGATCTCCACCTTTTCCACTTGTGTGAAAGGACGCATGAAGACTGTGTGCTCGTGTGTGCTATTATTAACATGTCTAAAACAAAAAAAAAACATATTCAGCACACTCAAAAGTCACAATCTTCTACTAAAGATTAGTGTTTTGCATCTAGAAAATATATTTGTAAGAGTTTTTAAAATTATTTTTAATCCTTCATAATATCCCCAGTCTTTTAGAACAGCGTGACGAATACAGACATTCAAAAATCAAAACAAACTTTTTATTGATGTGTAAAAGAGGTTTCAAAAACAAGACTAAAAAAATAAATTCTAGTAGATCTTTTCCTGGCTAATGCATCTAAAAATTATAACAACATATGTGTTTACCTTTCCTAAAATTAAACAATAATACAAGGAAAACAAGACATTTGTAAATGCGTAGTTTAAAAAAATGGGAATGACAAAAAAAATTATGTAATATAAAAAATGCCACAAATAATAAAATATTTAGAATCAAATATATCCAAACATTTAGAAAATATGTTTTATGATGTTAAAACATAGAAAATAATATACTAGACATAGGAAAATTGATATCTGGAAAAAATTCCAGTGTCTGTGTTGGATTTGTTACGTGCAAATTTAGCTTAAAAAACAAAAAGAAAATTGTATTATGTATTCAGGTCTTCAATTATGTAGTAATATTTCATGATTTTAAGATAGAGAATGGCAGAGGACGTATTTAAACAATATTATTACTTAAAAATACTGTTAAATACCAAGAGATGCCATGATGGTTGGCGATAACAACAAAACTTTTAAGATCAGAAAATACGTAAAATAACACGAAATAAACAGTACTTACTATTACATAAGGTCGAGCAGAGCCTTAGGAAAATATTGCGAACCAACAATACACAATAAAATCATTTTTTCTAGCCAAAATTTCAAAAAACCCCAAGACCGGCCGGCATATGACAATTTTCTTTGGTTAAAATTAGAAAAAGTGTTAAATCTAAATAATAGATGGCTCTTATTAAACACTTTTTGGGACCTCGAAAAAGTAGATTTCTCTAATTTAATTTTGAAAATTAATAGCATAACTATTTTCCGATAGATGTCACAGTAAAACCTAGTTTTTACAGAAATCCTTTTTATTTGTTTTCTAGTATAACTAGGTAATGACCGATGGCGCCACATGTTAATGTAGTTTCAAAAAAATGCCGCTAGATAATATGGCGCTGCAGTCAGTTTCGCGGCTAAGACGAAAAATTTGAATTAAAGCAATTTTCTTTTAGAGCTTATATTAACATGTTAATTGCGAAATTCTTAATTATAACGTTAAAAATAGACTAAGAACATATTCAGTTAGTTAATTTTATACAAACAAGTATAATAAATAAAATTAGAGTAAATAAATATTGATTCTTCAATTATTACCTTTAAAAATTCTGTCTTTATTTGTTGCAATAAACTTGTTTGTTATTATTTTTATAGTTTTCTCTTGTATTTTTATTCGTTGAATACAGTAAAGCAAAAAACAACGTAGTTTTGTTGCGACAAAAAATCTATAATATGAAAGTATAGGTTTTCGCAAATAGGAAAAAATAAAACTCAATTTTTTCATCCATATATTTTTTTGTATAT